GCCCAGAGAGGTGGTGGATGCCCCATCCCTGGAAACATTCCAGGTCAGGTTGGACGGGGCTCTGAGCAACCTGCTCTAGTTGAAGATGTCCCTGCCCAGGGCAGGGGGGTTGCACTAGACAAGCTTTAGAGGTCCCTTCCAACCCAAACCGTTCTGTGATTCTATGACTATCCCTGGACATACTCGGAAGCCATCTGGACATGGTCCTGGGCAACCGGCTCTAGGTGGCCCTGCTTGAGCAGGGGGGTTGGACCAGGTGACCTCCAGAGGTCCCTTCCCACCTCGATCCTTCCGTGATTCTGTGTGATTTGTGGCCCTGGGCAGGGACGTCACTGTGGGGTGAGTGGGGATGAGGGACCGTGCACTGGGGTGGCTCACATCCTCATGCGCTCTGGACTCACAATTTCATAGTCCCCAGACTCGTAACCCGTTGTCCTGGTCTTGCTGATGCTGTCAGAGAAATCTGGAAGAGGAAGAGCAGGGTGTCACCCCAAAATACCCAGGGCGGCTGTACCCTCCCTGGGGTCAGCTCAGTGACCCGGGGTCCCCACAGCCCACCCTTCCCCGAACCCCCTGGCTCACCCACTGCCTCGGTGCCCAGGCGCTTGTCCCTGAACTTTTCGTAAGCGGCGTTGGGGTTGATGATGAGATGGTCCACGCTGGTGCTGGTGAGCTCCTCCTGCACACAAAGCTCGGTGTTAGGGACGAGGCAGCCGCGAGGGTTTGTCGGCAGAGCTGCTGCCTCCCTGCAGCACTGGCGGCTGTCTGGGGCCAGTGCTGGGGAGAGGATGGACAGTAACAGGACGGGGGGGTGAAGGCAGCCCCGTCCTCCCCAGGACAGGGGCACAGCCCCCAGGGACTGACACGCAGGGACAGAACCCAGCAAAGGGTCTGGCCAGGGCAGCAGGGGCTGTCCAGGACGCGGCACGTCCGCAGGGCCTGGTGCGGGGACATCGGACGCCTGGCTTGGCTTGGCCCAGCCCGGCGGGCAGGAAACCCCCCCCGAGGGCCTGGCAGCAGGGCCAGAAGTGCAAGTGTACACTGAGGCTTGAAACCTTTCGGCAGCCCCACGACCAGTATCAGGAAATCTGCTGCTGAGCCCACGCGTGTCGTGGGCAGCCGGGGCGGCCCCCAGCCCAGCAGGGCTGGAACTGCCCCACGGCCGCGTTTCGGGGTGACTTCCACCAGCCGGGGGGCATCGGCAGGCTTGCGGGACTTCAACCCCTCAAAGACCACAAGGGCTTTGCCCAGAGCCTAGCAGGGCAAGTGCAGACGGTGAGTCTGGGCTCTTCTTGCCCCCCGCCATGGTCGGGGGGCCCTGACCCAGCAGGACCCTGCGGGAGGCACCTGAAGGACCCCCCCCCACCTGCTGCCCTGGGCCACGGCAGCCCCTCTCCAGCCCCTGTGCCCGGCCATGGCCTGAAGTGCTTTCGGGGAGCCCTGGCGCACTGCGAATGGACAAGAAGGGGTGAGAGCAGCGGGAGCAGCGCTAGGAGCGTTAGGGGGGGCCGTCCGGCTGGGGGAAGGCAGCAGCGAGCGCCCGCGAGCAGAGCGCAGGGTTACGGCGGCCGACGGACGGGCTCTTACCAGCTCCTTGCGTTTCCCAGAGATGAGAAAGTCAGAGCAAGGTTAGGAGGAGAGGGGCGAGAGAGAGACAAAAGGCGCGTTAGCAGGGATGGGGGCTCAGCGCGGCCCCTCTCGCCTGCCCATGTCCTGCCCAGCCCCCCAGTGTGCTGCAAAGCCTGGCAGGACAGGCTGCGGCAGGCTGGCAGTGACTGGCCCTGGGCAGCACCCCTCTGCGCCGGCAGCATCGCTGGGGAAGGGTACGAGGCCGCAGGGACAGGAGCGTGGCGTGGCTGAGACCCGTCGTGGGGGGCCAGGGGGTCCCTGGGGATCCCGAAGGACAAGGAAGGCAGCACGTGCAGGCAGGCAGGGCAGATGCAAAGAAGGCAAGGGAGAGCAGGCTGCCCCTGCCCATGGCAGGGGGGTGGGACTAGACGAGCGTTAAAGGTCCCTTCCAACCCAAACCCTTCTGTGAGTCTATGAATTAGAATAATAATTTATTACTAGCTATTAATCGACCCTATTTTCTTCTTATTTATTTATCATCGGTTACCTCTTTGCATACCCTAAATAAATTAATGCAAAATTGATAAAGAAATAATGAGCGTTATTAATTCAATTATCAATTATTAATATTTTAAAATTAATTAACGAATTAATCATTTAATACCTTGGGAATAAATTATGAATAAAAATTAATAAATAAATCACTAATTGATCTTCATTTAGTTTACCATTAATCAATTATTTATATTAGAGTAATAAGTATTTATATGTAAGTATTAATTAGATTAATAACTTAATAATTTTAATAATCAGCCCTTTTTTTTGTTTTTTATCATTAGTTTAATAAGTAATTCATTATAATTAAGTTAATTTTTTAATAATTAACAAATAATGTTCATTTGTATCATTTATGGCTTATTACCAATTTATTTATCAAGATCCGGTGATACTCTTTATTATAATTCATTAAATAATATTAACTAACTAATTGCCTGAGAAGGAATAAATAAATAATAATATGTTAAGAGTATCAGTAGTAAATTATTAATACACGTTAATAAGTTGTTAATTATTTGTTTTTAGTAGGTTTTTAATTAATTACTGTTTAATATTTATCAATGCTTGCTTTATTGATTATCAGTATGGTTATTATTCATTGTCTGGATGCATGCTCTGAATCTATGGGTATAGGATAAATAAATTAATAAACAATTAATAAACGACCATTAATAATTAATAATTTGATTTCTTATTAATTATTCATTGCTATTGATCAACACTCTTTATTGTCTATCACTGTATGATAAAGAAACAAATAAAAAATTATTTAATCGATCAATAGTTTTTATTACTCGAATTAGTATCAGTTAATCATCAATACTTAATTACTATTAATAATTAATATTAATTCTCAATTTACAAAGTTCAACTATTTTATTAGTATTTTGTGATACTCTTTATTAATGTTATTGTTACCCAACAAATTAATTATCACGTGTTTACTATTTTTATTCACCATCACAGGTATTTACTGTTATAATTCTTTATTACTGATTAATAATTAATTATTAATTAATCATCGATTACACACACGTTCGCTAAGACATCTCTGTTCCCAATCTAGAGCTCGCTATCAATTAGCGATGACTAATGGGGAGCAATCAATTCATGTCCTCAAGCCCGCCCGCCCCCCACGTGCCCCGGCTCATTTTCATTAGCGTTTATTTAGCTGTTTGTGTATTTATTTTCTTTCTCTCTGTCTCTTTTCTTTAATTACCCTTTTTTACTCCTTCTCTCGCTGCCAGGGGCCACGGACTACT